TTGATATATATTTAAAATATGTCTTTATTTTTTTTATACACAAGGGATGAAGTTACTTTATAAGTTCCTTTATCACTTTAAGCATCATGAACTTTTCCACACAGTGCAAATACAAATACATCAAATAATTTCCATCCAGTACAAATATCTCATTCTTTTTAAAAAATTGCATCGTATTCCTAGAGTACCTGGTGTGGTGATATAGGATAAGCACTTGACTGCTAACCACAAAGTCAGTGGTGCAAACCCACCAACCACTCCTTAGAAACCCTATACAGGGTTTGCAATGAGTTGGAATTGACTCGACGGCACTTTACAACTTAATTCCCAATATAATGTCCCATAAGGTAGTCAACAATTTCCTTCAATACTACTTAAATGATCTCATGGTAGCCACTCTTGTCCTCACAATTCAACAACAGTTATCTGTAAGAATTTGATCCTGTCATCTTCCTGCCTGAAAACTTTTAAAGGCTCCCAAACTCTTTAACTTAATCTGCATGGTACTGCTTGGTCTGAGTCCACATATGGCTCTTCCTTCATCTAATACCATTCTCCTTTCTAATCACACTCACCTTTCAGTTCTTGCCTAGAACATGCTTTGCCTCTCCTATCACCAAACTCCTTCCATAGGCTGCTCTCTCTACCTTGAAAGCTTTCCCTACTAGATATGCCACCTTCCGATCTTACTGCAATCCATAGTTGTAGATCTAACAAGCTGACATTCCCCCAAATAGATGTTTATGTGGTACAAGTTAATTTTTTTACAAGTTAACTGAACCAGTTCAACAACCATCAATCACAAAACATGACTTATCACAGGTTTTCTTTACCTGTGGATTCTTTTGTTGATTTTTGTCTTCCAAACAGACTTAAGTGCGAGGAGGGCAAGAACTAGGGTTAACAAAATCACTATTGTTTAATACAATATGTAAGCCCATTGTAAGTTTTCAACAAATGTGAAGCAGATATTACTAAGAGCTCAAGAAATCTGTAGACTAACAGCAGTATATGTAAGGAGAATGATATGCCCGCATCCTTCCTGAATATTTTTCAGTATTTCTAATCTCTGTTGGGAGCCCTGGTGTGTTACTGTGGGTTAATGCTCTGGACCGCAAAATCTATTTGAACTGCAAGGTCGGCAGTTCAACCTCATCAGTCGCTCCTTGGAAACTCTACACAGGGTCGATATGGGTCAGAACCGACTCAATGAAACTCAACAACAACAATTTCTGTTGATCTCATAGCTAAGTAATTATAGTTTAATTTTCACTTTGACTGACTGGACATAGTTCATTTCTATAGCAGTTCATCATCTTTCTCATATTCTAGCTCCAGGGGCACCCAAAACCCAGATTTCTTTTTTTTTTTAACCACTGGAGCTAGAACACCTACTAAACAGAACATTTCACAATGAATTACTAAAGGAAGTTCAAATCATGATCCTATCAACAACCACTACTGAGTTCATGGACTGTTTCTAAATTTCTAAGAACTAAAGTAACTACATGTTTATGGTATTTCTAAGTTATTTTGGAAAAACAGGAACCTTGACTCAGTTGGTGATCACATGCAAAAAAACAACATAACTTGTTCTCTTGTTCTGATTCACAACTCAAGTATGGAACTAAAACTATACCTACTTTCTCCCCATGTCAGACTGGAAAAAACTGCCACTGAATGTCTTACAAAGAAAGGCACTTACTATGTGTAATAAGTAACAAAATATATGTCATGGGCTTCTAAGCATGTCCAATAGTAAAACAGAAGATAGTCAGCCTTTTCTCCATTGTTTCGTGTTTCCCTTCTCTCTGATGACCCTTTACTTACCCTTTGTGTGTGAGGATTTTCAGGTTCTTGCCAACCGCCACTAGCTGCAAAAAAACCCAAAAGAAACACTTGATCTTTTTATTTCCATAACACAAAGTCTTCTGTAGGCTACAAAATGAAACTTATGGCAGAATTCCTAGGGGTGGAAAAATATTAGAAATTATGTAGCTAAGAATACACAGGTTAAAAATACACACACAAAGGCTTAAAATGTTCACGGAAAAATGGAATAATCAAAATGGATTTTTCCATGAACCATTTGAAGTCCCTCATCTTGTACCTATATATACACTGATGGCTACCACCGCCACTCCATGATACCCTTACTCTCAGAACAACCTTCTGAGGTAAGGACTCTTCTCAGTCTCATTTTATGGATGAGCAAACTGAGACTCAAAGAAGTGAACTAACTTGCCCAAAGTCGTGCAGACAGTAAGTGGGGGAGCTATGATTTAAATCCAGGTAGCCC